GGCGACTCGGGCGCGGGCGCGGGCGCGGGCGAGGTCGGGGAGCCGTCGTTGGCCGAGTGAAACGTCATGACCGACGCCGAAGTTGGCAGCGAGCCAAACTCGTCTACCATCTGCTGCGCGCGCTCCAGCCGCGGCCCGAACTCGGCCTCGTCAAAGATCTCGTAGTAGCGCTCGATGCAGAAGCGGATGACGGTGCCCAGCGTCGTCGGCGGCGCCTTTTTCCTCTGCCGCGACGGCGGTGGCTGGAGCAGCGGCGACGGCGGCTGCGGCTGCGAGGGCCCGGCATCGGCCGCCGGCGGGCCCAGCCTCGGGCTCGGGCTGCCGCTGCTCGGGGCAAAGGCCGCCATCGATCGGATGCCCTCGACGCGGCACAGCATCATATCCTGGATGGCGTTGCCGCCCGACACGAGGTTGGGCGCGATGACCGTGGCGAGGTTGGCCGCGTCCATTTTGTTGACGTCGGCGTGCTGCGACACCCGGTGCAGCATGCCCAGCACGTACGACAGCAGCATCGCCGCAGACGGAGGCTCAATGGCCGGCAGCAGCACCTCGCGGATGTGCTGGATCGTCTCCAGGGCAGCGGCCTGTTGCTTTGCGGCGGCGCTGCCGTCGATGTCTTCGTCGTCGTCGCCGTCGACGGCATCCTCGCCTCGGCCGTTGGTCGCGATGGCATACGGCGGCGGAGGGCAGGCCGCGATCGTCGAGTAGAGGCTGGCGGGGAAGATGGGCCGGGGCAGCGAGCGCAGAAACACCTTGAGCAGCACTGCGGGCACGTGCGGGTCGCCGTAGTTGGACAGGTTGACCGGATGCCCCCGGTCGTAGCTCTCCTGGGCCGCCCGCAGCAGCGCCGACGACGGCGACCGGCGGAAGATGCCCTCGACCTCGATCGGCCGGACGTCGCCCACGCTGCCGAGGATGGCCTCGACGCAGTCGCGCACCACCTTGGGCACGCCGCCCTTTTCGCCCTGCTCGCCCATCAGCTCGACCAGGTCGACGCCAAACACCTTGCTGGGCGCGCCGTCGCCCGTCCCGCCGCCACCGTGGGCCGCCGCCACCTCGGGCAGCGTGACGGAAGCCTCGAGCCCGGCGTTGACCTGCAGCACCGCGGGCGGGATGTCGATCTGCGTGAGCGGGATGTGCCGCGCCAGCTCGCTCAGCGTGTAGACGGTGGTGACCTTCTTGGGGAACTTGGGCGAGACAAAGTAGGCGCCCGTCTGGATGAACTGCATCAGGGAGCGCGTGAAAAACGTCGGGTGGACAATGTAGAGCCGCTTGAGGTTCTTGCGGAACTTACGGCCGAGGCGCTTGTACGACTTCCACAGCCAGTTCCAGCCGGGCCGGTGCCGCCCTCCGCTGGCCAGGTAGATGACCGTGTAGTCGTTTTCCGCAAACAGGTCGAGCGTGGCAATGATGCGGTCGAAGAGGTCGTCGTAGTCGACCTCTTTGGGGTCGGGCAGGCAGCACGCCGCCAGCACCACCATCGGCCGCGTCTCGTAGTCGAGGCCGGCCTGGAAGACGATGCGCCGGACGTGGGAGTCGAGGCGCTCCTGCTTCTGCATCAGGCTCTCCCAGTCGGACGCCGCTTTCGGAGTCTGCAGTGGCCCGGCATCGGACGAAGAGGCCGCGGCGCCCGTTCCCCAGAGGAAGCCCGAGCCGCCACCGCCACCGCCTCCACCGCCGAGGTTGAGGCCGGACCGCGATGGTTTCGTCCGCAGTCGAGACAGCGTCGAGTAGGCCGCGCTCGCAGCGTTGGCGGCGTGGCCGCTACCGGACGCGCGGGGCGAAGACGGCGGGTGGCCGAGGCTCAGGTCGTCCTTGGCCGCGCGTCGATCGGGATGGCCGCCGGTAGCGAGGTCCTCTGGGACGTCGAAGACGCTGCGGAGGCCGGCCGACCTCTGCTTTGGCGAGGCTGTCGGTTCGCGCGGCGAGGCTTCGAGCGGCGCCGAGATGGCGAAGGGAATGGCACCTCGTGTGCGGCCTCTGCCACCACCGGCGCGCGGCGAGGAAGGGGTCGGGCCTGGCGCATTGCCGGTTATCGTAGATGATCCAGCCTGAGACCTGTGATTCGGCTGCTGCGGCTGCTGCTGCTGGTAGGAGCCCCACAGGCTGGCAAACGCGGCCGAGAGTGTCGCGGTCGCGGTGCGGTACTGCGAGGGCGGCGTGTCAGGTGTCGAATGGCCGGTGCCGTTCGCGGGAGGCTCCGGCGAGTCTGAGCGGTGCATCGTGGCGAGGAGCGAGAGACTGGGCAGGCGCAGAGGCGGATGGACGTGGCAATCAGCGAGTGAGCCTGCTGGAACGGTCGGCGGCCAGGGCGGTGTGCTGTGAGACAGCGCCCCTAGGTGGGCGGCGAGTCGAGGTTGTGTCTCGAGGGGGTAGTTGGACTCTCGCTGATGGCCATTGGCTCGTATTCGTGCTCGTCGGTCGTCCAGACTCGGGGTCGAGGCAAGAGGTCGAATGGGTGTCTGACAGGACTCGTCGCGAAAAGGGGATACTCTGGGATCGAGGGGAGTGGGCGGGTGGCAGATGGACCCGCGGCAGTCACCTTGACGAGGAGACAAGAACGGCGGCGGCGGCAGTGGCGATGGTGACGGCTGCTGTCGAGTCGAGCGCGAGATGGGGCCAGGCCTGGCTGCTCGACGTGATGGATGATGATGGATGCGAGGTCCAAAGCGGGCGTGGGGGCCGCCAACCTCTTTGGGGGGGGCAACCCAGGCAGGCAGGCGGGCGAGCGGGCGAGCAGGCGAAGCAGGTGGGCGCGGGCCACGCGCAGGCCGGCAGCAGAGAGACAGGAGCGCCGCTGGACCCTCTTTGTCGATGCAGACACGCGCTCGCCGCCTCGTCTGGCAGGCCTGCCATCACCTCGCAGCCAGGTCACGCCTCGCAGGCCTCGACAGCACCACGCGCGCTTCTGCTCGCGCCATCGTCTAAGGTCGTCGCCAGTCACTCTACCTGACTCGCCTTCCATCGCACTGCTCTCTGCTCTCTGCTGCTGCGTACCGACACCCTCAGAAGGACGCTTCACCACAGCGACGCCTCGCAGGCTCAGACTGTCCCCACGCTGCAAGAAACGACGCAAGACGAAACAACGTCTATTGCGGCCACCCCCCATCCTCCCCCCGCCCCCTTGAGCCCTCATCCCTTTTGCGCCGCCATGCGACGCCACATGAGCCCAATCATCATGGTGCCGATGACGGTAAAGGCCAGCTCGAGCCAGACGATCGAGAGCTGGCCCACGTTGAACACCGTCGTGCCCCAGAAGGCGCCCGATATACGCCCGCTGTAGTTGCTCAGCTGGATCAGCAGCGACGAGAGCCCATTGAGGTGCGGCGGGATCTGCTTGGACAGCAGCGACACCGTGATCGTCGTGAGCATGTCTGCGCAGAGGGCGGGTTGGAAGCGGAGGAGGAGGACGACAATGGGCGATGAGTCGATGTCAACGCAGCGTCGAGAGCGGCAGGCGGACCGTACGCCCTGCCACCACGGCACTCACTGTATCCGAGCGCCACCAGGAACCAGGCGGTGAAGAAGGAGCCAAACGTGACGCTGGTGGCGTCGTGGATCTGGGCTTCGGTGCGCGTGAGGCCGTGCAGCGTGCCCAGGTGGAGCGACAGGCCCAGCATGCCCAGGAGGAGGCCAGCGGCGAGGATGTGGCGGTCCTCGACGTAGCGCGCCACAAAGACGAGGCCAAACAGGATGGGCAGCGTGGCGATGCCCCCGAGGGCAATGATGTTGCCCGCATCGTACTCGGACCACCCAAAGCGTACGCGCCCGAACACGGGGATGTTGGACTCCCACGCGCCCAGGACGAGGAAGTTGACCATCGAGAACCAGCACATGACCACGACGCTGCACAGCTGGTAGCGATCCAGGTGGCGACGCAGCGTCCACAGCGTGACGGGCGCGGCGGCGGCAGGGGCGGTAGGGGCCAACGAGGTGCCAGCTGCTTGCGTCGAGCCGTCCAGCTTGCTTGCACCGGGTGCTGCCTTCGTAGCCGGGTCCAGCACCTGCAGGGCGACGGCGTGGTCCCTCTGAGGTGGCTGCGATGGTCGCGAGGACAGATCGTGGCGATATCAGGCGGTCAGGCAGGGCAAGTTCAGCATTATGGGACGGTCGATCGCACGTCAATCGGTCGACAACGGCCGCTCACCTCTTCAAAGCAGAGCCAGATGGCCGCGCAAAAGGCGAGCCAGACGCCGGCCATGATCCAGCCCGAGGCGGTGAAGCCGTTCCAGATGCGGGTGCGCTCCGTCATGGCCGCGAGCCTCTTGGAGAGGAGGCCGCCGACAAAGGGCCCCACGGCCATGCCTCCGGCCTGGGTGGTGACGAGGAGCGCCGACATCATGGTCCTGCGCGCGGTGCCGACGACGCGCGGGTCGGTCATGTAGCGCTTGACAAACATCCACGACACGAAGCCGGCGCCGAGGATGACGCGGCCCACAAACATCAGCCAGGCCGTGTCGGCGCGACCGGCGAGGGCGTAGACGACCTCGCCGACGGCGAAGCAGACGGTGCTGAAGAGGAAGGGCACCTTGTAGCCCTCGCTGAAGCGGCGCGAAAAGGGGACGAGGAAGATGCCCGCGACAAAGGTGCTGATGCCGATCGTCAGGCCACTGAACCACGTCGAAGCGCCCAGGTCGTTGGCGTAGCTGGCCGACGTGGGGACGATGATGAAGAAGGTGACGTTGAGCAGGAAGTTCATGGCGAGGACGATGACGCCCGACGCCAGCGGCGGGAGCGCGCTGGGCGGCGGGGCATGATCTGCGGCGGGCGGGGACGCTGTGCGGAGGGAGAGCATCGATCGCGGCGATCCAGGCGGTGAATTGTGGGCCTCGAGGTCAGTCTGCGAGTCGAGCGGCGGGACGATGGCGTCCGGATCGAGGGCGCCCTTGCGAACTTCGTCGTGTGGGGGGATCTCGGCACCCAGCGACGGGCCGGAGTCGTCTCGCTCGTGAGGTGCATTGGGCTCCGTCGTCGTCGTCGTCTTCATCGTCGTCGTCGTCGTCTTCATCGTCGTCGTCGTCGTCTTCATCGTCGTCGTCGTCCTGGTCGATGTGAGGCCCTGGTACGGAAGAGGTGCTGGACGTGGTCACGGCGGCAGGGGCAATCGACGGTAGGAGCACGCGGTGGCCGGCGTCCTGGGCGGTGATGGTGGAGGAAGGGGTCGTGCTCACCTCGGTGGCATCGTCTCGCGGCGGGGTCAAAAAGGATGCGTGCCTGATCTCGACGAGCGAGCGGGCCGTCGTGGTGGGCCGGCGATGTTCGACGTGACTCGTCGTCGGAAGCCGAGGAGGCAAGGCCTGGCAGTGAGGAGGGCGGCGAGGCGCTTTGCTTGCATGCGACACGCTGGACTCGGCGCGACCCTGGCCGACCCTGGCCGACGACCCGACCACACGGACGGCGAAGAGAGGCGCGCTCCGTTGGGATGCCATGCACGAGGGAATGAACGGCCTCCGTCTTCGGGCCGACGCGCCTCTTGGCAGACGGCGTGGCACTCGACCGCAAGGGGCGCAGCAGAAGAGAAGACGGGCGTATGGTCCGACACGGGCATAGTGAGGTGATGCGACACACGAGATCATTGCAGCAGGGGAAAGCCACGGCGAGCGTAGGGAGTACAAGGGCGATAGCGACGAGATACGAGGAAAAGACAGGAGGGAATGTTGCTGCCACCACCCCGGGGCCAGACACGGCATCGACACCCGTCCTTGTTACGGGAAGCGGGCGCGACGGCCGCGAGCCGTGCTGGGATGGCGATGCTGGCCCCGCGCCGACCGCCGCCCCTCTCAGTTTTATATGGGGCGACGACCAAACGCGGGACCCGCACCGTCGCGTGAACGGTGCGTTGGATTTGGGACTCTACCAGGAACCGCTTCGGCTGGAAGATATTGATACCCTTTCGCGAGGAAAGAGGCCGGGCGGGCAGAATGAGTCCAATGAGGGTGGGGGGGAGGTCGTGGTGGTGGGATGGGATAGGGGGTGGGGGGGCTAGGATTGGGGCGGGACAACGGCGTCGGGCGAGCACAGGCAGCAGGGTCGCAGGCGATGATGATGTCGTCGTCGTCGTATTGCGATGCGGCGAGTTGTCGGGGAGAGGCTAGACGAAGGAAGGCGGGCGGTGGTGGTGGTGGTGGTGGTGAAAGAGAGGGCGGCGACAGCGGGGCGGCGCTTTATAAGGCCCTCGTTGTTGGCCAGCCCAGCGGCTTTTCGTCGTGGATTTTTTCTGCTTTTTCTCGATGGGAAGCGCTGGCCGCCCGCGGTGTCGCCTGCGGTGAGCGCATGTCAGCCGTGCGACTGAAAGCGTCGGCCTGACCGCCTCCACGCGAAAACCAAGGGGAGGTGCATCACCCGCTTGCTCCCCGTCCTGCCCCTGCTCCCTGCGCCCACAAGCCGCACCTTCCTCCCTCGCAACCATCCACAAGCGACAGCACCCTCGGCACACTCTGCCACACTCACTGCGAAACGGCGTGCGATAGACAGGCGCGACGACACACCCGACTACGCCACGCGCAGGTTCACGGACAAGGGGGCCAGACACGTTCTCCCGCGAGCGCAACAAGCACCTGATCTCAAGCAGCCGCCGCGGACTGGTTGTGCGAAGGCGCTACATCGCCCTGCTCACAGGCCAGGCACGAACTACTCGCTGGACACAGTCGCTCTCATACCGCTGCCGCCGCCGCCATGAAGCTCACGCCAGAGCTCCTCGCACGGAGCAACTCGTACATCAACTCGCTCAAGGATAGAGAGGTGAGTGGCCGCACACGAGAAGCGGCAGCAGCGGCAGGTTCACTTCGATACGACGATAGACTGACGACCCCGAGAGGCCCTTCGTCCCCTCTTGCGCTTCATCGTCTGTTGTCCTGCCAGCTCGATCTCAGAGGTGAGTCGCAGAGGCACGGAAGGAGAACGCACACGGGCATCTTGCGCCTCGTCTGATCCAACCCGCTGACCTCCGCCACCGACGCCCCTTGACCTCTTCCTTCTCCTCCCCTCCGAACCGACCGCCCAGGCCTCAAGATCCCCGCCATCGAGAACCTCGGCGTGACCAAGGACCAGAACGACACCATCGACCTGACCGACAACGACATCCGCTACCTGGGCAATTTCCCGCTGCTGCAGCAGCTCAAGACGCTGCACCTCGCCAACAACCTCGTCGCGCGCATCGACCCGCGCATCGCCTTCACAATACCGGCGCTGCAGATGCTGACCCTGACCAACAACTCGCTCCAGGACCTCGGCGAGGTGGCCAGCCTCGCAAAGCTCCGCTCGCTCGAGTACCTCACGCTCATGGGCAACCCCATCGCGCGCGAGAAAAACTACCGCGAGTTTGTCGTGTGGAAGTGCCCGAGCGTGCGCGTCCTCGACTTCCGGCGCGTGCGGCAGCAGGTGAGTGCGCGAAGTGGCAGGCCGTCCGACGCCGTCCTGACGTCCAGCGAGCGACGACGAGGTGGCCTTGACCTGTCGCTGACCCTTCTGCGCGTCTCTTCCTTCCACACGCGGCTGCGCGTGCGTGCCGCCCAGGAGCGCGAGCTGGCCAAGCAGCTCATGGAGACGTCGGATGGCCGACCGTCGGCGCTGGCGGCGTCGATCCTGCGGCGCAGGGCAGGCAAGGCCGGCACCGCAGCGGCAGCGGCAGAAGCTGAGGGCGAGACCGTGGTCAAGGAGAGGACATTCGAGCCGGGCAAGCTCAACGGCTCGGCGGGCAGGCTGCTGACGGCCGACGAGAGGAAAGCGATCGAGGAGGCCATCGAGAACAGCGAGAGCCTCGACGAGATCCGCAGGCTCGAGGAGAAGCTGCGCATGGGCCACACGATTCGGCCAGAGGACCTCAAGAGCGGCAGCGCCAAGAGGGCGTCCGACGGGGTACCGGCGCAAGAGGCCAAGAAGGCGCGAGGGTCAGGGCCGAAAGGGGCCAAGGAAGATGCAGGTGCAGATGCAGAGGCAGAAGAGGAGGAGCAGGAGGAGGAGGAGATGGAGGAGTCGTAGCCACCCGACGCGGTGGTGCCGCCAGGAGGGCCTGCCCGCCACCTCTGCAAAAAACCAGGCGACCGCCGAGCGGCGCAGCTCCTTGTCTTTCATGTCCGTGCATCCTCGATCGGGACATCCGACGCGACCCTGGTATTCGTGTGTGACCATCGACGGCGAGGCGGAAGGCGGATGCAGAGCGTGTGGCGGTGGAGAGGAGGTAGAGGCCAGCAGATGCCAACCACCCGGGCCAGGCAAACGCGGCTCGGCTTTCGGGCAAATCGGGGCTCGCGGATTGGCCCCCTCCCGGCCCCAAATTTCAGAGAGGTGCCTGGGGCCCTCCGCTGCGCTGCCCCACCTCTTGCCGCTTCCGCTTGACTCGACCGCGGCCAGCTGTGGCGTGCGCCAGAGAGTTGGGGCAGGCTGACCTCGACCAGCCTGGCTGGTTGCCCCCGTCCTCGTCCCTTCATCTCTTCCACCAAACCTCTCAACTCGCCACAGTCCCTTTCCCCACCTCACATCGATCTCAACACCACCACCACCCGCGCCAGTTTCGACACCACTGCTGGCGATATCGTCGAGCACACTATTTGCTCGGCGCCACTCCCTTCCTTCCTCGCACCTCACCCGACATGAGCTGCCTTCCGTCGACGTCGAGGTCGGCCCGGTCGCTGGGCCCGCGATTGCTGCGGCAGGCCTCGGCCTCGCACTCTGGCGCTGCGCGAGCACCGTTTGCCACAGCAGCCCGTGCCGTCAAGCCTCGTGGCTCTACCTTGGCCGTCTGCTCGCCGCACTCGAGGTCAATGTCGACGACCACCGCCACCGCCGATGCTCATGCAAGTGCCGCCGCCACCGCCACAACCACCCTCTCCGGACAGGACATCTCCATCGCTGTCGACGAGGACGGCAGCGTGCCTGCAGCTCCTTACACGGCTTTGCCGCTAGCTGGCTCCGCACCCTCCTACAAGGTCCACCTCGTCGTCCACCCCGTCGACCGGGCACGCCCCTCGTCGAGCTGGCCCTCGCACCTCGAGTCTGTCAACCCGCTCCTGCTCGAGCTCGAGGGGCGATCCAAGAAGGGCGGCAGCCTCGAGGGATTCGGCATCTCGTTTTCCGAAGGCTCGGTCCGCGACACCAACGCCGCCGCCAACGAGCTGCCCGACTGGGATCCTGCGACGCCGCGAATGCTGCGCCCCGTCCCCAACTCTCGCTCCGAGGACGAGAGGTTCATCATTTACGCCTACACCCAGCCCGGCAAGGTCACCAAGGTCGGGCCGCTGTCGCTCAAGACGCTCGACGAGGGCGTCCCTCTGCGACAGAGGATCGACGAGGCGCTGCTGGCGGCGCGGTCCCAGACGGGCCGGCCGAGCGAGCAGGACGAGACCCACGTCTACGTCTGCGCCCACGGCGCTCGCGACTGCCGATGCCAGGTCGCCGGTGGCCAGGTGCTCGATAGCCTGCGCGAGGCGGTCCGCAAGAACGAGGCCTCGCTCGTCAAGGCCGGCCGGCCCAGCCCCAAGAAGGTCAAGGTGTGGCCCATCAGCCACGTCGGCGGCCACACATTTGCCGCCAACGCCCTCGTCTACCCGCACGGCGACTGGTACGGCAACCTGCGCGCCACCGACTCCAAGCTCGTCCTCCGCGCCGCCCTCAGCCCGGCGTCGTCGGCCCACGACCTCGAGGACTCGCGGGAGAGGCTCGTCCACTGGCCACGGTGGCGCGGCCGCCTTGGCATGACCAAGTCCGAGCAGCGCGACCACTTTAGCGAGTGGGGCCCGCCCACCATCAACTCGGCGCAGCTCACGCCCAGGCCGCGCGGTGGACTCGCCGGCGCCGGATCTCGACCCGAGCTGAGCAGCATGCCGTCGGCCAGCATGATCGCTGCGGCCGCGCGCGGCTACGCTACGGCGGCGGCGCCCGGCCCGTCGCCGGACGGCGGTAAGCCGCCGCAGCCGTCGGAGCGCATGGCGGCGTTCCGAGCCAAGCTGGCGCAGGACCTGTCGATCGGCGACTTTGCTGCCGGCGAGGTCGAGGCGGTCGAGGTCGACGACGCGAGCCACGTCCCCAAGGGTGCCCGCGTCCAGATGGGCCGCGTGGGCGAGGCGCGGCTGCCGTCGCACCTCAAGACCAAGATCCCGACGGGCGCCAACTACTCGCGGATCAAGTCGGACCTGCGCGGGCTGGGCCTCAGCACCGTGTGCGAGGAGGCGCGGTGCCCCAACATTGGCGAGTGCTGGGGCGGCGAGGGCGGCAAGGAGAATGCGACGGCCACCATCATGATCATGGGCGACACGTGCACGCGCGGCTGCCGCTTCTGCGCCGTCAAGACGTCGCGCGCGCCGGCGCCGCTGGACCCGCACGAGCCCGAGAACACGGCCGAGGCCATCTCGCGCTGGGGGCTGGGCTACATTGTGCTCACCTCGGTCGACCGCGACGACCTGGCCGATGGCGGCTCGGCACACATTGCCTCGACCATCTCCAAGATCAAGTCCAAGTCGCCCCAGATCCTCGTCGAGGCGCTGGTGCCCGACTTTTCCGGCGACACCGAGTGCGTCGACCGCATCGCCCACAGCGGCCTCGACGTGTTTGCCCACAATGTCGAGACCGTCGAGCGGACGACGCCGTCGGTGCGCGACCGCCGCGCAAAGTACCGCCAGTCGCTGGCGGTGCTGGCGCACGCCAAGCGCTCCAACCCCAAGCTCATCACCAAGACGTCGATCATGCTGGGCTGCGGCGAAGAGGACCACGAGGTGCTGCAGACGCTCAAGGATCTGCGCGCCAACGACGTCGACGTCGTCACGTTTGGGCAGTACATGCGCCCGACCAAGCGCCACATGAAGGTGACCGAGTACGTGCAGCCGGCCAAGTTTGAGCACTGGCAGAAGACGGCCGAGGAGCTGGGCTTCCTCTACGTCGCCAGCGGGCCCCTGGTGCGCAGCAGCTACAAGGCCGGCGAGTTTTTCATCAAGAATGTCCTCGAGCAGCGCAAGGGCGTCGCTGCCGCCGCCTCGCCGTCGTCTCCGGCTGCAACGGCTGCCACGTCGGCTTCGGCTTCGGCTTCGGCTTGAAGGAACGGTACCGCCATCGGCTGTCCGGCCTCCTCGCCATCGTCCTCGCCCCGTGCCTGCCCCCCATCCATCATCACGGTCTCAACACCCTGTACTTTTAGAAGAGCGCACTCAGCGCTCGCCACTGCTCCCTAGAATGATTGCATGTGGATCCCCTCGCTCACCCGCACAAAACAGGAGTGCCGTCTCGGTCGTCTGATCCCATTGGCCAGTGCGCGGCCGAGGCTTTCCATCGATAAACATTCAACTCGCAGCGCGGTGGAAGCGCGGGTGGACAGCAGCTCGCCGCCATCGGTCGACGAACGACGCGAATGGATGGCGCTCAGCACGTCTCGGAGCCGATTCGACTCGAGGTCGAGGATAAAGGGGCAAAGGGGCGAGGCCAAGGTCGGACCCGCCCGCCCAATCACGACCGAGGCAGGCAGGCAGGCCAGGCCAGGCGGGCGCTCGTCCAGACTTCGGCCAAGTCCGAAGTTTTAACCGTCTCGATGCGCGTCCTCGGCCGTCTCCGAGGAATCCACCCTCTCTCCCTCTCCTCCCCCCTCTCGGCCTTGGCAAGCTGATGAAGAGACGCCGTTCATTGGTCTCCCCCGCCTCGAAAAGCCTCGAGTTTGGAAGCGGTACCGGTGCGTTTTGCGGCTTCGATGTACGGAGCTGGAGCGACGTCGATCCCGAACAGCCGCCCGGCCGTCGGCGTCGGGAGGCTTCCATGTCATGCCTTGCCGTGTCATGTACGCACGACGATCTGGTGCACATGTCCATCCGGCCTGCCTCTGAGCCTCCCCACATGTCATGTCTGACTGTGGAGAGAGAGAGGGGGCGGGATGATAAGATAGGGATACAGATGGCCATCGTCGGACGGTCCGAGATGGCGAGGTGGTGATGCGCGCAGGCCCAGCCGGATCCGCACTCCCTCGCTCCCTCTCCCTCACCGCTCCCCCTGCTCCGCCTCATTCGCGGACGAATCGGTGCCGATGTACGGCTCGCCAGTCCTCGACTCGGCCGGACCGGTGCTGCTGCGGTCGTCGTCGTTTGCCCCCCACCACCTCGCTTCACGGCCCTCCCGTCCTCCCCCTTCCTCGACCTCAGCCCATGGTACAGTAGCCCTTGGGTCCAGTATGCAAGAGGCAACCACGTTTCCGCCACTGCCCGACCATCATTGGACGGACGGACGGCCAGATGCCTCGAGGATGCTGTCGGAAGAAGGCGCACCGGCTCTGGTCGTTTCAATTTCCAGCCTTCTCGACATGATACCGCTCCGCACCGCACCGCACCGCGCAGCGTTCGTCTCTGCAGGTACCTAGATACAGGATGCGGCCCCGGTCGTCGTCGTCGTCTCTGTGCGGTGCGAAGAGGAGCCCAACGCAAGGTGCAGCGGACATGGTCCTCGCCGTCACGGTCCGCCTTCTTCCACCGCTTTCCGGCGCCCGATGCCCGGTCGGGTTGCTTCGCTCGCTTGCTCAACGACGCCCACCCGCCTTGCTTGCTCGTCGGTTGTTGATTGCGATGAGCCCCTCGTTCCTCCTTCACCCGCCACACTGAGTCTGTCGGGGCGGGGTGGGGAGAGCCCCGCTCCGCACGGCCCCGACGATGCCTAGCCTATTCTTCTCCTCGACGCCGTTGTCGTCACGCCGAGCTACGGCCATTGTGGTGAGTGACCTTGCACAAGTCTAGCGACAGTTCATGGGCACGACCCTGGCTGCGCCCCCGCCTCTCCGTGACCGCTTTGACTGCACGTCGTCGACGAGGGCGTGCAGAGAAGCCTTGCGAGGAACGATGGGATCGCATCTCGGCGCCGCGCCGAGCCAAGCCCAGCAACGCACGACTTCATCTGTAGCGACGTTTCGACGTCGTTTTTGTTGTCGCATGGCTTCCTACAGTATGCGCCGTCCCCACCGACCCGCCTCCCGGGGCTCCTCTCTATCTGCGGCGGCGGCGGCTATGTAGGACGAGCACGGACAGAGAGAGGCAGCATTGATCGATGTTGGCTAGGCGCAGCACTGGAAGCCTCGTTGCGCCGTCGGGATAGGCAGGAGGGACGATTGCCGGACCGGGCAGTCGTCGCACGTCCTCGACACCACCTTCGCCTGCCTGCCTCGTTTGGGCCCTCGTCGCTCGTCGCTCGTCGCTCTCCTGGCATCTCGACAAACGCATCTACGCACGCACGTACGTACTGCGCGATCAACCGAGCGAACCTTCAGCCCGCCCGCAATGTTCCCACCCGCCCTGGGCAGCCCGGGCAGGCCGGTTCCTGCCTCCCGGGCTTGGCTGTGGGAACGACCCCTTGGGAAGAGCGAGCGAGCGAGCGGATCGAGCCTGCTGCAACGGGCCCGTCCATGTGATGCCTTGCCAGCTGGCCTGGCCTGGTCTGGGCTGCCTTGCTTTGTGCCTGCTTTGGGTCGGAGGTCAAAGTTGACCGCAAATCCCTCTGTCGCGCTGGTCCCCAGCTGTCGACGATGCCTGGCCATGCTGCCATCTCACCCACCTGCCACACCTGCTTCTGTAGATTTGCGGTGCCTTCCTCTTGCCTTGCGTTCATGCCTGGGCGTCGCCTCGTCAAGCAGATCACCATTCGTGGAAAGCCTCGAAAACATCCTCTCATTCGTCACCATCTTCGGTCGACGAACGACGACGACGTACTGATGATGTCGCCGGTCGTCATGGCCGCGCCCGGCTTGGACTCGCTGGATCGTGTCTCAAATCGCAGCCTAGCGGCACCGGTAGCGGGCTGGAACACACGTATGTACACACACACACACACAGATAGAAGAGCCGCGGTGGCAAGGCATGGCCAAGGCGAAGGGCCCCATGTAGGCAGAGACAAGCGTCGTTTTCATTCGGCTTCTCGACGGGCCGACCGGCAGCCAGCCAGCCAATGCTCAGGCCCAGCATGACCCAGCCTCCGTTCGGTTTTTCGTTTTACGAAAACCGCCGGCCGATGGGGCTTCCTTCGATGAGGAGGCTGGCAAAACTTCACCCTCCCCCTCCTCCCGAGGACCGCGACCGCTGGTTGGAAGTCTGAGCATCCGGCCGCTGCTGCTGCTGCTACGCTTATCTCTCGACATGCGACGGGCCCGCTCGACCAACCAGAACGGAGCTCGGCGCGCAGCCTGGCTACCAGCCGTACCTACCTGCCTGCCTGCTCGCCTGTCGGGAAGACGCACGCACGCACGGCCTTGTCGGGCGCTCAAAGGCGGCCCGAAGAGAGCCTGCCTGCCTGCCTGCAGCCCCGCTCGCGGAGAGCATGCTGCTTGACCCTGGCCTGGCCCGCCGCGACGTCCGAGAAGAAGGGGATCGTTATCGTGCCACCGGCAGGCAGACCCCGGGCTCGGCGAGGGAGGCGCCCGCCAGCCCGCTCCCAACACCCAGCAGATGAACCCGCCTGATGGGCATCGACGGGCGAGATCCGCCAGCTCGAACTCGCGCGGCGACGGAGAGAGAGAAGGGAAAAACGTGCGGCAGCTGAGACGGCCGCCGTGTGGCAAAATTCCCGAAAGGTTGCAAATCGCCTTCAGCTGGCCGCCCTCCTGTCTTGACGCCTGCCGCCTGCCGCTCCAATTTTTCGAGGAGAGGGCAGGGGCAGAAGGACGCGTTGTGCGTGCGAGCGAACCGGCGCCTGCTGGGCTGCTTGCGCTTGAGGCCTCGCTTGACCGCCTGCCTGCCTGCCTGCCTGGCTGTCTGCCTGGTGGCCTCGCTTGCCTGGTGCCGTTTTAGGCAGTCGCTCGAGGGGCAAGAGTGTGGCAACGCGGGCCGTGGGCCTGCCTGGAGCGTACGTGTTCGTTGGCATCGGGTCGTTGCGCCCCGCCAGCTAAATCGACGGCTCGGATTTTTCTTCTGCCGCCCGGCCTGGGCACTTTACCTCTTCTGTTCGGCCTGGCCTGACACCTGCCTGCCTGCCTGCCTGCTTGCTTCTGCTGCGTTTCCTGGCTTAGCTTGCTGCCCTGCCTGCGACCTGCTGCTCTTCGCTCTCATGCCTTCGTATCGCACGCCGTCGCATTGAAGCAAGCGGCGGCAGCAGCGTCGCTCCCCTTGGGGGGCCGCCTGCCTGCCTGCTGGCTGTCCGCTGCCAGCCGAGCCTGCTGCGCCAGCCGACTTTCCCTACTGTAGCCGTGCGTGGGTGTGCGTGGGAGGCAGGCGGCACGAGGCAGGCAGAACCATGTCGACGACCAGGCCGACCAAGAGGCTAACTAGAGGGGATCAGGAGACGAGTAGTGCGACGGACCATCTCCGTCGTCGTCCAGGGGCCTGCCTGCTGCCTGCTAGCCAGAGCCAGGGCCAGGATCAAAGTGCCGAAGGCGAGGTCGACGAAAGCACCACAGGCTGGGCTAGGGTCATGGTGGCGGGCCGTGACCAGCAGGCAGGCAGGCCGGCCGTCTTGCCCCGCGTCCGGTCTCGCTCCTCGTTTCGCCTTTTGAGATAAAGCCCAGCGTCCTCGGTAGGCCTTTCGGCGCCGGCGGCCGCTTTGCCACCTCCCTCGTCGTCCTCGCGCCCCTCCTGCCTTCCCTTCGGCCGCCCGTCCGCTTTGGGTCGCGCGCTCCGCCTCGCCCCTTCCCATCCTCCTTTTGCCCTCCTCCCGCTTCACGCTTTGCTTCTGCTCCACCACCCGCTTCTCGAAGCAGCCGCCGCCGTAGCAGCAGCAGCAGCAGCAACCTAGCCGTCGACGGCCTGCCCTCGGCGACCTCGATTTCCTCTTCTCCTTCTTCCACCACCTTCCTCCACCAACCCCCCTTTGTCGTCGTCTTGCGGCTGCGCCGTCTAGACGTCCCGACCCCCTCCTTCCTGTCACCATGACCATTGCCACCGTCTTCAACAACATCAACCGCGCTGTGGCCGTCTCGCCCGTCGGCTACTACTTCCGCCTCGATGGTTCCGGCCACCCGCTCTCGCGGCCCGGCTCGCGCTTCCTCACCGAGATCCGCGCCGGCCTCGTCACGTTTGCCGCCATGGCCTACATCCTGAGCGTCAATGCGTCGATCCTCACCACCTCGGGCGGCCCCTGCGAGTGCCCCAACTCGCCCGACGACCCCTTCTGCGCCAATGACCCCGCCTACAACGCCTGCACTGCCCAGCTGCGCCGCGACTACGTCTTTGCCACGGGCGCATCGGCCTGCATTGCCACCTTGCTCATGTCGCTCTTTGCCAACATGCCTCTCGGCCTCGCCCCCGGTCTCGGTGTCAATGCGTGAGTGTCGTCGGCCCGCCGGCTCTAGCTCGTCGCAAAAGTTCCACTTCATCCTATCGCGCATTTGATGCCGGTGTCCTTGTTCTAACCCCGGCCCTCTCTCTCATCCACCTCGTGCTTCTCTTTTCCCCCTCCTCTCTCGCAGCTACTTTGCCTTCACTATCGTCGGTACTGCCGGCTCCGGCATCATCCCGTACAGCCAGGCGCTCGCCGCCGTCTGGCTCGAGGGCTGGGTTTTCGTCATCCTTTCGGTCCTTGGTCTCCGTCAGTGGCTCGCCCGCCTCCTGCCGCACTCGCTCAAGCTCAGCACCGGTGCCGGCATTGGCTTCTACCTTGCGTTTATCGGCCTCGGACCTCCGGGCCTCAACGTCATCGGCGGCGACCTCACCAACCTCGTCGGCCTCGGCGGCTGCCCCAAGCAGTACACTGACCCGGACACGGGCTTTTGCACCAGCCACGTCCTCCAGGACCCGCGCGTCTGGGTCGGCGTCTTCCTCGGCGGCATCTTCACCGCGCTGATGCTCCTCTACCGCGTCAAGGGCGCCTTCATCATTGGCATCCTGCTCGTCTCGATTGTGTCTTGGCCGCGCAACACGGCCATCACCATGTTCCCGCACACCGAGGCCGGCGACTCGGACTTCAACTTTTTCAAGCAGGTGGCCAACTGGAACGGCCTCGGCATGCTCGGGCCGCAGAACATCGACTGGAACGGCTACGGCAACGGCAAGGTGTGGGCCGCGCTGGTCTCGTTCCTGTACATCGACCTGCTCGACACCACCGGCACCCTGTACGCCATGGCGTCGCACGCCGGGCTGATGGACGCGCGCACCGGCGACTTTGAGGGCTCGTCGGCCGCCTACCTCAGCGACGCCGTCTCGATCTCGATTGGCTCGCTGCTCGGCCTCTCGCCCAACACGGCGTTTGTCGAGTCGGCGTCGGGCATCGCCGAGGGCGGCAGGACGGGCATCACGGGCGTCGTCGTGTCGTTCATGTTCTTCCTCAGCCTGTTTTTCTCGCCCATCTTTGCCTCGCTGCCGGCGTGGGCGACGGGCTCGACGCTGATCATTGTCGGCTCGATGATGGCCTCCAACACGGCCCAGGTCAACTGGTCGTACGTCGGCGACGCGCTGCCCGCCTTCATCACCATTGTCGGCATCCCGCTCTTCTACAACATCGCCTACGGCCTGATCGCGGGCATCATCTCGTACATCCTGCTCAACGCCATCCCGTGGGCGCTGGTGCGCATCACCAACGGCCGCCTGGTGCCCGCCGGCTGGGACACGGTCAAGGAGCCGTGGGGCGCGCGCATGGTGTCGGCCAACGACGACGCCACGGGCTTCAGGGCCATCCTGCCGCCGTGGATGCGCAAGCTGACCGAAGGCAACTGGAAGTTCTGGAAGATGACCGACGACGAGATCGAGTTCTACCTCGAGGGCCGCCGCGAGACGCAGCGCATGGCCGAGGAGCGCGCCGAGCAGCTCGAGATGGAGCGCGCCCACATGTACGGCGAGGACGACGTCGAGGCCGTCGCCAGCATCGGCAGCCAGAGCATGCGCGACGAGAAGCGCCTCAGCTCGCCCTCGGCCTCGGCCCACCGCAGCCACGAGCTGCCCCACACCCACGAGCCCGCCGACGACGTC